TTCATTGTACTGTTCCAGGCAAACAGCCAAGCAAGGGCTAAAATCAGGGCTAAAGCAATCCAGTTGCAGACAAATATGTAATTACAATCAATACTGTAAATGCAATTGCACCCCCCAAAATGAATCTCTTCTTTTATGACTGGCAGAGTTTGATTTTTAAATGTTTTTTTTTTTAATCCTGTTATTGCTAAAAATGAGGTTTCTGTAGTCACGGTCTCAGTCTGTTAGGTTCTAACTTCTCACCCTCATAATCTTTCAACCTCTTGCTCTCTACCAAATGAACCTGGTAAAGGAGGAGAAAATTAAAGTCCTGCAAGTTGCCCATGAAAATGGTCATTCAGGTAGATATCTATGAACATACTGCTATGATTTAACTCCAGCTGGCATTTAAGGCCCACAGAGCTGCTCCCTAAATTCCCTTCCCTAGTGGGACAGGGGAGAGAATCAGATGAGTAAAAGTGAGAAAACTCATGGGTTGAGATAAAGACAGTTTAACAGGTAAAGCAAAAGCCACACTGCTTCCCATGGTCTAGCGGGTGTTCATCCATCCCCAGGACAGCCAGGCTCCGTCATCTGTAATGGTGACTTGGGAAGAGAAATGCCTTCACTCCCAGTATTCTCCCCTGCCCTTCCTTCTTCTTCCCCAGCTTTATATGCTGAGCATGATGACCTGCGATATGGGATATCCCTTTGGTCAGTTGGGGTCTGCTGTCTCAGCTGTGTCCTCCCAATGTCTCGTGCACCCCCAGCCCACTCACTGGTGGGGCACTTGCGAGGAGCACACAGGGCCTTGAGGCTGTGTGGTAGCTGAAACCCCCTGTGTTACCAACTTAGCTTTCAGCACAGATCCAAAACACAGCCCCATCCCAGCTACTGTAAAGAAAATTAACCCTATCCCAGCCAAAACCGGCTCACATACATATATAGACATCTACCTATCTGTGGATCCCCTCAGATAAATGTTTTACTGCGGATAAGCAGTTGAAGGTTGGTCTCTGAGTTCCTTAACTGGATGGAACATGTGGTGGTATATCTCTGTTACTCACTGGTTATATGAACAATTTGTCTGACTTCTCTTCTGGGATAAAAGGTATTATTTTGTGCACACTTTTTGTAGCTTGAATTCTGGTGTTTATAATCCATCTTATTTCTGAACTCATTATCTTGGCCCTTGATGTTTCAAGTAGAGCCTGCAGCTCCATGTAATGCTTTTTGTAGACTCCAGCTTGAACTCCATATGCTTGTCTGCCTCAGGTACTTTCTCTCTTTTCTGAGTGAAGATTTTCTTTTTCTGTGTATTTTACCCTTTACTTGCAATGTCTAAGACTCTCTGCCATCTCTGCAATGCCAGACCACTGTTTACCCTGTGTAGATTGTTATCTGCATTTCTCATGTTTTGCAGATTTTGATTGCTCTGTCAAAGGCCAATTTTTGTGTCATCCAGTCATCTATTTTTGAGTGTTTGGCAGAGCTAGTCTCTTCTCATGGATATTGCCAGATTGGATCTTCAGCCTTGGACTTGTCACTAACTGATAAATGTTTTCACTTCTTTGCAACTGCAGTTTATGCTTTTTATTTTGTGATGGAGGGTAGGACTTCTCAAACTCTCTGTAGTACAATTTGGAGTTAAGCTATTGTGACTGAGGAAAAGAAAACTTGATAAAAGTAAGGAGTCCTTCAGAACCAGCCATGATCAGAAGCAGGGCCCTCCTCCGACTCCTCTTTAATTCTTGGTGGCACTGCTCTGCTGCAGAAGTAGTAGCTAGGTCTTCAATCACTTTTTTTTCTTTTCTTTTATCTTTCTGAGAAGTTCAGCCTCTTAGCTGCTCCATTCTTTCCCTCAGGACCATTACTGTGTTTTCTCTCCTCCAGCTACTATGTTATTTGGAAAACAGCCACAGCCAGGGAGGCCACCAAATCAGTGTGGCTCGATGCAGCAGCACTGCCTGCTGGTGGGTGCATGGCTGGTTCTGGCTGCCTTGAGGGGCAGACTTGCAAAGGTCGTCTAGCAAAGATTAAATTAAATGTGCCAAAAGCCCATAATTAGTCAGTGCAGTAACTTTCACGTGTTAAGTGGTTTCAAGGGGTCTATTTTCAAGTCAGGTAACCTGGAGAAGCTGGATCTAAATACGCACTGAAGAAAAAAAGCTTCCCATTCTGTGTAGGTTTTCACAAATATTTGTTCAGAGGTGAGAATATTGGAATTCCTTGCTCATCTTTCCATGTTTTTATAATGCAGAGCTCATCACACTGGGTCCTCTGGGATTCCCTTGGTCTAATAACATCATGGTTGCTTGTGATCTCTACTGTGTCTGATGTGAGGAGTGAGGTGTTTCAGCACAGAAGGAATATTACCCTCTGCACAGCTGCTCAATCTTTCTCTCCCTTTCACTCTAATATGAAATAAGTATTGCACATACACTTTTCTGACTGTCATAAAACATCCTAAGGAGCTCAGCTAAAGCAATGAGAGCTATGATAATTCCTCATGTGTTTATTAGAACACCAGCCAGCCTACTGATGGGAGCTGCAGCAATATCCAGTGGCAACATCTGAATTAGTCAATGTTGAGCTGCTCAGGGACTAAAGAGAGAGTCAACAACCACACAGTATCTTTACAGTGAGAAAAACAGATTATTCTTTTTTAGTTGAAGGGCTGCAGCTCTCTTGGTCTTCTGCTTAGTAGCAGATTGGTGGAAAAGATGCATAAAGAGGTCTTTCGACTGGTAGTGGTTGATATTTGTGTGGCACTATAATCCAAAATATCTCTGTGCTAATCATCATCTGAGTGTGCAGATGACTGCTGGGGGAGTTCAGAATCTAAGTACAACAATCCCTTTGATCCTTTGTAGGATTCTCAGCAAGGGAAACTAGGCAATGTTGTCACATCCAGCCTGCTGAAAGCACCTGCCACATTTTTAACTCGGTTTTTAACCTAGATTCCTCTTCTTAGGGTTAAAAATGTACATTGGCACCTGTCTTCTCCAGGGGAGCAGCTGGGGATTTCCTGGTGTCCATATCAATTGTGAGAGCATTTCAGAAGCAACTGACAGGTTTGCCTGGACATGTCTCCACAAGAGGGTAAACTTGAGCAGTTGCTCACAGTTTCTGTCATTCATCCTTCTGTCCTGACACAAACCCATTGTTCTGTGCCACTCTGCTGAGGCTTTGAGTTTAGGCTAAAACCTGAGCTACTTTTGCTCAGGTTCATCTCCCAGTGACTTCTGGTGAGGCTGAGGCCATAATCAAGTGCTTGTCACCTGCAAGTGTGGCAGCAGAGCTGATAAATATGTCCCTGACTCGGTGATTAATAGTTATTAGCCCAGGATATGGTTGGGACTGGAATTGATCTTGAGTGAGCATTAGGAAAATCACTTGACTAATAGTTACATTTCTGGTATGACAGTTAGTAAAAAAAAATTTAGAAATTCTTCACACAATCCTCCTCAGCCTCACAACAGCTGTGAAGTAGAGAATGTGTCTGAGGAAAATGAATTCTGCAGGCAATGCCACTATTTCAGTCCAGGCCATCTCAATTACTGATTGCTACTATATATCCAGAGGTCAGGTTTTAAATATCTCTAATTGCCTGAGACCATTGTGGTTGCCTAGGTTAACAGTAAAAAATAAGGAAAAGACTTTAAACTGAACAAGTTGCAAGAAAGGGCTATTAGAGGCATTATGGGAAGGAGAGTCTGTCTTTTGAGAGGAGATAAAGAGCATTTGTTTCTTCTAGGTTTTTGTCAAAAATGTGATCAGTGAGGGGCAATATTAACCTTGCAAACACTTATGGGAAGGAAGAAATGGAAATGAGAAAAAAAGAATTTTAAGTAGCAGAGCAGTGTTCTTAGCAAAGCCAATTGATACAATCACCAATACATCAGGAGTGGAAATGAGAACAAGTTTTCTCACCATGAGGGAAATGAAATTCTGAGATGGGATTCTGGAGAGGGTACTTCCACACCACCTCGGGACAGAGCTTGGTAAGTTCTTGGGAAGAAGTGCACAGCATGAGGGGAACAGAAGCTAGCATTAAAGTTAGCATTTCTGATATTCTGTGTACAGTTAATTCTATCTATGAACGAAAGTGTAGGAAGACTTAATCACTGCACTACCTTTATATATGTTTAATTAACCCCATATCTCCTGTAGGGACCAGGAAGAATTTTCCTTCTGCTTAATTTAGCTTTTGTTTTGGTTTTGGTTTATCCTTTTCCCTATGCCTCTACATCTGCAAGAGAAAAGACTGACTACATCTAGAATGGAGAAGCAAGGGTGTTTTTGGCCAGGCAATCTGCAGGTCCAGGTTTTGCTGGAAAGCTCTGAAATGTTTGGTTGGGTTCCCCTGTTCCTGCTCTCAAACTTCTGTACATTACGGACAAAAAAGGTGAATTTTTTTTCCTGGCAGGCCTGAAACAGTAGGCTCATTTCAACATGGAACAGAGATTACCACTGTTAATTTGCCACTTTTCCAATTTCTTGCACTTTATTCAGGTTTTCTGCACTCCAGAAAGCTCAAATGCTGTTTATACTTTGATTGCCTACTTGCCTCTCCCTGGGCACCTTCTAGGGTCTAAGTTTTTTTGTGTGTTTTCTGCTGTAGTGTGTTGTTTCCTACGGGATATGCTATGCCCTGTGCTGAGGCACCTCTCCTGCCCGAGCTCCACTGGAGCAGCTCCTCATGACCCAGCCCATCCTCTGCCTTGTTCTTCATTGGTCTAATAACTTAGAAACTTATGTCCTTCAGACACCATTCTCCTTACATGCATCTAAGAACAGCCTACACACACAGCTAATCTGGAGGTTGTTGAAGTCACAAGATGGATTTTCTTGTGACACTAAGGAAGAAAATGAAAATTAGGTTAGTTATCACTGGATAAGTATTATTTCATATAACTTACTTCAGGGATTTTTTTTCTTTCATTCAAAGAGATAAAGACACCTGACAAAGTGAGAAAAAGCTGAATAATGTGTTTCTTTCCTTTTGTATTTCTTTTCAGGCTCCATCTATGAAATGTTTGGATATGAATCCTGCCTTTCAACAGGAGAAGTCATTAAAGTTATTGGCTTCAAAATTAATAAGCTCATAGCAAGTATCTGTGAGAATAATGAAGTCGGCCAGTTTTCAGCCAAAGTGGAATTACCACTAAATTTTCCTGGTATAGTATTTCATGAATACTTATTTTGGAGGAATTATAACCCTAAGTAACCACCTTTGTTCATTTTATTGATTTGCTGTCTTGATTGATATTTGCTTGAGGTTACAACTCAGCTGTCAAGGATAGAATTTTATCAAATGGCATGAGAAACAATAAACTCATTTTTAAGTACCAACTCTTACAGTTCTTTTTCAAGCATGGATAGAAATTATTAATGTTATAATGTTTGGTAGTAATGTTTTCTGTACTCAGTGTAAGAATTATCTTATTTTCAGTTACTTATGACTTTGCCAAACTTTGCCTGAGCTCGAGTCTTCCTTACTGTGTGCTCAGAGTAAAATGTATTTACTATGACTATATTTTTTTATTATTATTATTTTGGATATAAAGTATTTTTAATATTTTATTGCATTTTTTGCTTTTAATTTAAGGATTCATTCCAATTCCAGGGGCAAAACTGGCTGCTCCATGCCTGGAAACAGGATTAGAGGAAAATTCATGTGTTTTTTATGCTTGAAAAACTTCAACTGTTCTCTATAGAGAAGTACCAAATTATCCATATTTAAGAGGATGGGCTTGAAATTTGGCATGTGGTACTGACTCGTTATTTGAAATATATCTTCCTCTGTTCCTGTGACCTTGTTAGGAAGAGCTGGCCAAGTGCTGTAGCCAGGGTACCTTGTTCATCATATGTAATATTTTTTCATTTCTCAATTCTGCACTCATCTCAATTCCTCTCCTGTTAGGACCCAGCTGTTTTAAATAGGGAAGTGATTGGAGTGCAGCAGAAGTGCTGGACTGTGAATATCCACGTGTGGGAAGTGAAGGAGGCAGACTAGGTTAGGAAGCAGATTAAAAAAAAACATTGGGTTTCAAAGCAAAGTAGATGGATGGTGACTTGATATGCAAAGATCAGGCACTGGAGACAGCGATTGTAGAGGTGGTTACAAGCATCAGAGGAGGACCACACCCACACAGAAATACAGAAGGAGGGCATTTCCTATGCTGGGAATCCTACAGGCACCAGGAGCCCCCTGGGGAGAGGGGATGAGTGGGCTGGAAAACAGCAAGAGGAGGCCAGTGGGATGTGGAAAGGATCCTGGGATACCTGTAGGTGGGAAACAGTGGGACAGAGCACACACAGGACGCAGAAGCCCTTGAGAGCTGAGGGACTCACTTTGGCCAGCAGCCTAGCTAATGCACTGAAAGAGACTACAGTTTTGTAGAAAAACAATAGAATGTCAGCATTTAGTTAACACTGTCTTGTACTGTAAGCCCATGGGAGGTTAACTTGATGCTGCAAGGGGAAATACAATGTGAGTATTTTCTAGTGTTTAAGTGCTTGACTCAGTAACCACCATTCTAATGCACTGCTGAGCATGTGAGAATGTGTGCAAAAGCATACATTTAGTTCAGGCTCTGCCAGTGCCCAAACTGGTGTATGCTTTTCTGCAGAGGGAGACAAGACACACTTCTTGAAGGAAATGAAATGTAAAAGCACATGGGAATGCAATGTTTCACCATTATCATAATTCCACAGGAAGATATCTTCTGCCATGCCTTCATTTTCCACCTCCAAAATACAAATTTCTTCCTGAAATAGTCCTATATATAATTTTCTTTTCCCCTGTAGATCCTCAATTTACATTAATGTTTTTCTTACTCAGTGAATCAGAACCATTTGTATGACCACTTATTAAAAGACTTTTTTTTGGAATGCCATTTTCAAGCACTAGTAGGGCCCAAATGTAGTGAATAAAGACATTTTAATTATCTGTGGCTACCTGGAGATATTGAAGTATTGCTGTACTGTGAACTCTCAAGATACTCAGTATTTTTCTTGAAATCCAAGCTTCTTTGCTCTTATTAAAATTTATTCTCTCTCTAAAATATGCATATATATAGGAAGTAATATTCTAAATCTTGATTGGCAGATGGGTTTGAACATTTGAATCCTAAAATATTCAAAAGAACCCAGTGATAAAGTTAATCCCACATTTATTAACCTTGAATCTCCTGATTTTCAGAACAGAATGACTTGTGATTTCAAATGTTTGAACCTGGTGAATCTGGATTTGTTTGCATTCAAGTGATCAATTTTACAACTTGGCATTTGGATGTTGTTGCCCTATTAAGCACATTTTCAAATTCGGTCTAATCACTACAATTTGCATACTTACTTCTGAACTCTCCCAACCAGTGTTCTAAAAAACTGGGTTATTTCACTAGAAAAATAAATTCAGAGTTCATTTTGCTGAAATGTATCATTATTATCCTCTACTTGATGTGTATTACTGAACAGTGGCACTGAAGAGGGGAGTAATGATACTTCTTATTAGCCAAACAGGGAGCACTGCTCTCGTTTCTCTCTGTGTGTGTACTCTAACACATTCAAGAGCTTTTTGGTAAGATGTAAGTTTGTCATTTCTCTGATTTAGTTATTAGCTGAAGAGTGATTCTGCTCTATAATGTCAAGATGTCCCAGTCTCTGCTTTTTCTTGACTTTTTTTCTGTTTCTCTTTATTACATACCCACATACACACGCTAAGCTCTGAACAAAACATCGTGTTGGAGCCTTGCTGGATTGCCCCTGTCTCCAGAACAAAGCCCAGAACCAAATTGCAGACGATGTATTTCCACACTCAATGCAAAGAAATCTTTTGCTTTGATGTTATTTTCCATTTTCTCTGCTGTGAGCTGTAATTTGCATGTGATGGGCTCGTGTATACTTTCACCTTGTGCATGCTGGCATAAATAATCCACGGTTCTATTTAGGTTATTCTGGGGATAACGTTTCTGTGAGTGAAGAATTAGGCTCATTGGCTTTAAACGAGCCTTATTCTTTGTCTTTCTGAACGTATTTGCAGTCTACAGAATTCCTTTTTTCTGCTCTGACAAATCAGATCCTTGATAAAGGCGTAATCTGCCCTTTGCATTAGAGAAACTGCTGCAACCGCAGTTCACTATCTGTGTTATTTCATTTTATCCTCATTCTAATTTGTTCTTTTTCATGCCTCAAAGGGCCAGGCTGTTCTTTCTATGCTCATACACAGGGTAAAAAAAGAAGTCTGCTGTTACTCTAGACACTTCAATGCCTATGTCTAACAGCATTTTGAACTACAATTTTCACTACTAGCAAGTTAGCAGAGACAGGTAATTTACGCAACACTTGAACTGTGTGCCAGCACAAATGATTTCATTTTGTTCTCTTATGTTCCTTCCTCTGCAAAAATATTGCCAGGCTGTGCCTGCTCTCAGGGGGTCCCTGGCAGTTGCTGCTGCTCATTCCTACATGGTCTGGCACACATGTAGCTGAGCAACCCTTTGAGCTCTCAGCCCCTGGCGGTCACAAGACAAGAGACTTGTCTGTGGCCACAGAGCACATACATGGAAAAACAGGGGTGTTTGGCACTAGAAGGCTCATTTCAAGAGGAGATGATGGAGAAACAGGAGAGGTGGCCTTTGGGGCAGGATGGGGAGAGAAGGATGTTGGAGTAGAGGAGGAAGCAGAGTCGGTGGTGAAGGAAAAAGGAAACAACAATCAAATCAGCTCCAGAGAAGTTGGGAACAGAGCTCTTTCTGTCTTCTACATTGCCATGGGGAAGATAAAATGCTAGTCTGGGACAGAAGTTTCTTGCTATTTTTTTTTCCTTATAGACTACTTGCTGAGCTATTAGGTGAACCTAACTACAGGTTTTCTCACTTTTCTCAGTTTTCTGCGGAGAAAAGAAGGAAAAGAGAATTAAAAAGATACTCCTTTCCATCAGGACTCTGATTAAGACTGTAAAAGAGACGTCTATAAAGCTGCAGGGAGATACATTTTATCACTCTATAACCAGTAAAAGAGAGCTGCATATACTGTTCCGTAAAAAGGTGGTAAAAGCATCCTTCTAGCAAAACATGCTTTCACACAGGACTAAATGGGTGGTCCTTGGACTATGTCTTCTCTCCTATATCTGTGAAAATAATTTTTTTTCAGATTCCCAAACTCTCTATCAATGTGTACATCAATGCCTAAAATTTTCCTTTAAAATGATGGCCTGATTAGGTTTGAGGCATACTAATTATCATATTATGGCTAAGCAGGCACTTCACCTAGTAAAATTCCACTAGGTACAAAGGGTTCATGGAGTGTGACAATGGGTTTATGTTCCTGTAGTTATTACGTATGTGGAGTTACTCTTGTCTCTATCTGTAATTTTCCCCAAAACTATTGGGCATCAGAGCACTTTAGTTGTAGACCATATTACATTTAGAAAGTAGATACACAGAAGCAATAATTCCATCTTTCAGTAAACCAGATGGACCTTTTTCTAGGTTTTTTATTTCCATCTGTCTTTCCTCCCAATAGTTGACCAAACACCCTTAGAAAAGTCTAAGTGAATTTGATTCGGTCATTTTTTGATTTATGAAAAAATACAAAAATATTTTTGTTTGACCTCAAAATGTCCAGACTTCAGCATTTCAAACTTACCATATGTCTCCCCTAGTCTCTGTCTTCAGTTTGGGAAGCATTTGGGTTTGTAATTTGATTCATAATGGTTTAAATAAGGTTCTGAATGGTTCCTGAAAATGCTGTTTGACTTTGGTGTTGTTTTGTTGTGGTTTGGTTTTTGTTTGGGTTTGTTGTTGATTTTTTGTTTTGTTTTGGTGATTTTATATATATATCTATATATCTATATATATATCTCTTAGCAAGAAGGGCATTTATGAGAAGATACTACAGCTGATTATGGCACTTAGATAGGAACCGCAGTAGCTTTCACTCATCATACCAAAATCACTTTTTATATATTAATTTCTTTTCTGTAGAGAGAGAAACATATGGAACGTTACATACTCTTAAACATAAACAGGTGGCTATTAGGTGTCTCTTTATGGGTCTCATCAATACAGAAGCTAGGTATGCAACACCACGTGGCTCTGTGGTTGCCCATGCAAGCATCCTATTGCCAAAACTGAGAAAAACAGCAGAATGGAAGGTGAAGATTTTTCTGCCCCCACAAAGTCAGTCTGCCTGGGCCTGAGGGGATAATTAGGTGTCTAGCATTGTATAAGATCTGGTTATTATGCTTCCATATGAAACTTGCTTTTCAATCCAGGATGCTCATGACTTTTTTGTTGAAATAGCTGGCTTCCAAATAGTTCAGTAATTCCAGCAAAATTAGTAGAGCCTGAGTTTGACAATAAACTCATAGAAAAGAATGTTTCTTGTACTTGTACATTGCCAAATATTTTCAGCTGGGAATGGTTTTTTAACACAGTTTATGGAGGGTTTTTAATGCAATTCTGGAGATCTTTCTAGGGGCAGTGCATGTTCTCTTGTATCACAGATGGATAAACACAGTTATTGCCTTTGGGATGTATTATATGTACATTGAATACATTTTTTAATGAAGAAGTTTGCTTTCTCCCAGCACCGCCAAGAGATGATGCCCATCTTGTGCTTGCGAAGCATGACACTGGAACATTGAGGGATGCTGTCTTTTCTGCAGTTTCAGTTTGTCAGTGGGGCCTTGTCACTGCCATATTTTCTAAATGCTGATGAACCAGTTTGTCTTGATCTGCACTGACAGCTCCAGTAGTGATTCCAACTGGGATAGCTAACTTGCTTCTTAATAATTGTGTTAGAAATGGCTGGAAGAAACAGAGCTTGGCTGCTTTGTCACTGTAGCTACCAGTTAATCTGTGTGGGTCTCCTGGCTTGCAAACTTGGCCTAGGAGTAACTCCTACAGTCAGTTATATTCACTTGGAAGGGAGCCTTAGCTGATGCCTGTCCCAGGAAGCTGCAATGTAATTCCGTAAGGCAGTATTTATGCTGCTGTGCCTGGGGAAAGACAGGGAATCACACAGTTCAGCTAAACCCTACTGTTGAGTCCTCTAAACCGTCCGCTTCATCTTCATCTATGAAAACACTCATGCAAACATAGAAATGTACGTATTTTTCTTGCAAAGTGGACTCTTAATGAGACAGCTCCAAGGGGCATGATTAACATGAAATAATAATGTCCCTAGGGAATAGGGATGCTCAAATGCAGCGCCTGCCTTGCTGGAACTTCAGCACTTTAATTGCCTTGTGATAACCACAGTGCTACAACACCCAGACTTTGAATTACTCCATCTGGTGGTTTGGGTTTTCAGATTTGCTAAAATTAATTTCCTTTGCTTATTCTTGTCTTTAGGCACATTCTTTCTGTAGTGCATTTGGGTACATTTTTGGTGTACCTTTAAAAATACTTAGACTAGGAATCCCCAGTCTGTGTGTGGAAGAATACCACAGTACAATGTTTAGCCAGAAACTTTATCCTGCATTTCACTGATCACATTAGTGTTGCACTTCATAGCATGTCTGCGTTTTTTTCTTGAAGGTTGGCTTCCTGAGAAGACAGAAAAGAATTTTGGTTATTTTGTCTTTTTCCTATAGCAAAGAAGAACTACTTTTTTGTCTTTTTACCATGGAGGTAAAAATACTGGATGTCAGAAATTATCTGCAGAGTAAAAAGGGCTAATTCTAGCCACCTATGGTTTGTACCATGTAGTTGATGTTCTCACATTTCTAGCAGACTATTAGCTGTGAATTGTTTGGTGTGTTTTGCTGCCAATTGCATTCACAGACCAAAATTTCGCAAGGCTTCCTTTATATTCCCCTTTTTATAATGCAAGTTTTCTGTTCTTAGGTCTTTATAAGGTTGTGGCAGATAAAACTCCATATGACAGCGTTGAGGAAATTACAAGAAAAGTCTCAATCAGGCCAACAAGATTTGGTCATCCATGTTTCTACAGCCCTGAGGATATAAAATTGGCAAACCTCACTATCAACCATGGTGAGCAGATCACCTTCAACTCAGTGGAAGAGGTCAATGGAACAATGGCTGTGAAATGTAGCGTGGTCAGAAATAACCAGTCTCATTCCTTTACTTTGCCCTTTTCACAAGAAGGAATATTCTACGAGTGTGAAGATGATCAGATATACACCCTAAAAGAGATTGCAGAATGGAAAATTCCTAAGTGCAGAAACCGGATTGTCAAACTTTCCAATCCTTTACACACGTGGGGCTACTCTAATCCACTGCCTGAGAATTTTGATGGGTGCTTGATTCTCAAGCCTGTCTATGAAGTGCAGGCAGTAATGAAATGTAAGTAGGAATCAATGTTCTGTTGTCTCAGTATAACAAAGTACTCTTAAATACACAAAATGTGCTTAAAACAGGAAGGAAGGATTCAGTTTGGTCAAGAATTCCTGACCCATATTTGGCAATGATGCTAGTTTCACAATGAAGAAAGATAAAAATAATGTTGCCTTTTTTATTCCTTTGTCAACTGTTAATTCAGATTGTTACTTTGAATTTCTTTCTGTTCTTATTTTCTCAATCACTACAACTAAATCACTATTGCAAAGAAAATATATTGCATAGTGAAAAACTGCAGGAATTGTGTTGAGTTCTCAAAATCTCCTTTGTGTCTCAGACTTTGGCTGTAGAGAAGCCACTCAATTCTTTATGGCTGTGGCTAGGAGGTAGAAAAAAATATAGACATACATGTAACACACTCAACTACCATTTATTTTTCAGACTGAGGATGCCGCAGAAAGCAACCCTATTACTTCACTCTGCTGCAGAAATAAGTGTCACTAGGATATAAAGAGAAAAGACTTATAGACAATTTCTGAAACCTCTGGTTTTGAGAAAACAGGAAGATATTAGAAAACAAATATAATTAAATGCTGTAATTTGTGTTATGAGTTTTTGATAATAATAATAATAATAATAATAATAAATATTATAATAATAATAATAATAATAATAATAATAATAATAATTAATAATAATAATTGTCCATAGCACATTATCACTGTTGTTCCACCAAAACATTGAAACTGCTGGGTTATGTTCTTACCAGTGTCTATATCTATGCCTTGTTAGTGAAATTAGTCATGGGAATAAAATGAGAAGGTGTGCAAGGGTACAAGATCACAGTGAAATTCTCCTGAGTTCTGATGACTTGTAGAGCTGAGCTGCAGTAATGGTTCTTATTTTCTCAATCACTACAACTAAATCACTATTGCAAAGAAAATATATTGCATAGTGAAAAACTGCAGGAATTGTGTTGAGTTCTCAAAATCTCCTTTGTGTCTCAGACTTTGGCTGTAGAGAAGCCACTCAATTCTTTATGGCTGTGGCTAGGAGGTAGAAAAAAATATAGACATACATGTAACACACTCAACTACCATTTATTTTTCAGACTGAGGATGCCGCAGAAAGCAACCCTATTACTTCACTCTGCTGCAGAAATAAGTGTCACTAGGATATAAAGAGAAAAGACTTATAGACAATTTCTGAAACCTCTGGTTTTGAGAAAACAGGAAGATATTAGAAAACAAATATAATTAAATGCTGTAATTTGTGTTATGAGTTTTTGATAATAATAATAATAATAATAATAATAATAATAATAATAATAATAATAATAATAATAATAATAATAATAATTAATAATAATAATTGTCCATAGCACATTATCACTGTTGTTCCACCAAAACATTGAAACTGCTGGGTTATGTTCTTACCAGTGTCTATATCTATGCCTTGTTAGTGAAATTAGTCATGGGAATAAAATGAGAAGGTGTGCAAGGGTACAAGATCACAGTGAAATTCTCCTGAGTTCTGATGACTTGTAGAGCTGAGCTGCAGTAATGACCCTTGTGTGTGTGTGCATAGCATACCCTCTCTGAACTGAGATGTTACATAAGCAAAAAACCCAGCTTAAACTAAAATGTTTGACCTTGCTTGAGGACAGCCCAGGCAGTAGATGGAAACTTTCTGCAGTTATACTTGATGCATCTGTCCTGTTAAAGTTTGCAGGGTAGGAGCTTAGTTTTTGGAAAGGTTTTTCTTACCTGTTGCATTTAATAGAAGCAAACAAGTGAGCTCCATAGAAAAGAAATCCTAACAGAACTATGTAATTCATAAGGATAATAAGCAGAAATCTTTTCATAGGTGAGCTTTCTCTGATTAATTATGTAAGTAAATGGATAAAAAAGAAAGAAATAAAATTGGGCAGAGACTGTTAGTACAATATACTATAGTTGCTAAATGCTTATCGCAACACCTTCAGCTGTGCTTGCTATGTGATTTAATGTGTGAGTTTGGAAAACATATCTTCACGAGATAAAATACTTTGTTTTCTATAAGTAGATTCAGGAATCTATCTCATCTCATGAAACTAGGTTAACTTAGGTATATTCCTATACCCACTTATATCCATGTGCAGAATCAATAAAAATATAGTGATTCTAAAAAGCTTTCCAAAGATTCAGAAATGTTTGGTATTCCCTTGTCTTCCAGTCAGATATTCCAATGACAGTTGTATTTGTTGATTATATTTCATTCCCTTTTATATTTCATAGTGTGGTCAACACTTAAAAATTAAATGTGTCCTAATTAAGTATTTAATGCAAACTTGAAAAGTAGGCTTCATGGTTCATGGTTAACTACTTTCTTGTGGACCACGAAAAATGGATTTTCACCATTTTTAGAAGAACTATAAATGGACATAAGATAAAGTATGAGGAATACTATCCACAATTCAATAAAAAAGATTCCTGATAAGAGTGTTAGCAGATTACATTTTCAAAGGCTGTGGGCAGGAAT